TCTGCTGAATTTTTCATACAAAGAAGACAAACGCTAAGCTCCTGTTTCAAGCCCAGTAGCCCTTGTGGTCTAGTGGTTAGGATTCAGTGCCTTCACTGCCACAGCCTGGATTTGATTCCTGGTCAGGAAACTAAGATCCCACTTCAAGCCACTGAACTGTGGAAATCAGCATGACCTGCCCCATCCAAACTGTCATGGAAGGGAAAGTTTGCAGTTATGAACCGTGAACAATGCTAGGATTCTTGGCCTCCAGAGGCAAGGAATTCGATCCAGGGTCAGTAACGAGTCTTGATCGCTCAGTGCATTTGTGTAATAAAGTTTTATTAAAGTATGAAAGAGATAGAGAAATCTTCTGACATAGACCTCAGAAGGGGGCAGAAAGACTGCCCCCTTGCTAGTTTGAAGGAAGAAGTTATTTATCTATCAGTTCAGTTCAGTTCAGTTCAGTCGCTCAGTCGTGTCCGACTCTTTGTGACCCCGTGAACCACAGCACGCCAGGCCTCCCTGTCCAGCACAAACTGCCGGGGTCTACCCAAACCCATGTCCATTGAGTCGGTAATACCATCCAACCATCTCATCCTCTGTCGTCCCCTTTTCCACCCCCTCAATTTTTCCCAGCATCAGGGTCTTTTCAAATGAGTCAGCTCTTCACATCAGGTGGCCAAGGTATTGGAATTTCAGCTTCAACATCAGTCCTTCCAATGAACACCCAGGACTGATCTCCTTTAGGATGGACTGGTTGGATCTCCTTGCAGTCCAAGGGACTTTCAAGAGTCTTCTCCAACACCACAGTTCAAAAGCATCAATTCTTCAGTGCTCAGCTTTCTTTATAGCCCAACTCTCACATTCATTCATGACTATTGGAAAAACCATAGCCTTGACTAGATGGACTTTTGTGGACAAAGTAGTCTCTGCTTTTTAATATGCTATCTAGGTTGGTCACAACTTTCCTTGAAGGAGTAAATGACTTTTAATTTCATGGCTGCAATCACCATCTGCAGTGATTTTGGAGCCCAGACAAATAAAGTCTGACACTGTTTCCACTGTTTCCCCATCTATTTCCCATGACATGATGGGACCAGATGCCATGATATTAGTTTTCTGCATGTTCAGCTTTAAGCCAACTTTTCCACTCTCCTCTTTCACTTTCATCAAGAGGCTTTTTAGTTCTTCTTCACTTTCTGCCATAAGGGTGGTTTCATCTGCATATCTGAGGTTATTGATATTTCTCCCAGCAGTCTTGATTCCTGCTTGTCCTTCCTCCAGCCCAGTATTTCTCATGATGTACTCTGCATATAAGTTAAATAAGCAGGGTGACAATATACAGCCTTGACGTACTCCTTTTCCTATTTGGAACCAGTCTCTTGTTCCATGTTCAGTTCTAACTGTTGCTTCCTGACCTACATACAGGTTTCTCAAGAGGCAGGTAAGGTGGTCTGGTATTCCCATCTCTTTGAGAATTTTCCACAGTTTATTGATGCTAATTGAGAAACGAATTGCCTCAAAACTGAGAAAGTGGCACCAGGCCCCTCACCCACAAAATGTCTTTTGAGTAGCATTGACACAACATGAGTCATCCTGGGCCATAAAGGAATTGACATGAATCTTGAAGAAAGGCAGATTTCCAAACAAATATATAGTTCATTAACATAGCCTAAGAAAAACATTTCCAAAAGAAAAATTCATTGGTTAGCTCAACATTTGAGAAATGTTAAGTTCAGGTGAAACCAGATGTCATCATGGCAACACAGAATTTTAAAAGCAAACTTCCAATTTTGTATAGAGAAGGGAAAAAAAGTCTGACACTTGTAGTCTGTTTCCTCCTGCCACTTAAGAGAGAGATTTTTTAAAAATCTAACACTTGCAGTCTTATTTCCTCCGCTTGGGGACCCCTAGCCTTCCTGCCTGTTACCCACTAAGAAGTAGGTGTTTTCCTGGCTTCAAACCCTGTGCTAGGCTTCTGTCCCATTGCAAGGTCTTGCAGAGGGCTGTGCCCACGTCCTGAGATGCCAGAGCAGCCAGCATGGGGTGGCTCTGGGGACAGGACATACTCTAGGGACAATGTGCACTTGAAGGGGGGTGTTGCATGGGGTTTAGCAGACCCCAAGGTCAAGAGACGGAAAGAGGGGAGCCTCCCCAGAACCTCTGCTATGTGTCAGAGTGGGCTGTGCTCTTCTACAAAAACACAATTACAGTGAAGACATCATCAAGACTATTGTATAATAAAATTATGATCACCACAGCAATGTCTGACCATCAGCCTGAGGTGGAAGAGTCAGGTATGACCATGGCCACCTGCTTTGCTTTTCATCTTCAGAGCAGAGCTGACCCTGAGCAAAGTTGGACTACAGGTAAAGCTTCTTTCTGGCCCCTTCCTTCTCTGGAGACTCCAGCCTCAGCTTCTTCCTCTCCCAACATTCCCTCCTAGACCTAAGTCCCTTCTGACCCTTTTCTCAGCCTGGGTAAAGCACATCTCCCTGACCACTCTGAGTCTGATTCTGTATCTGATTCTGTATCTGTGCAATGAGGATGCAGATGGTATGGACCATAAGAAGATGCCTGCAAAGTGCAGTGCTGAGCACAGGCTGGAAACAGGAGAGACCTTGAAAGGCTTCATACCTCCTAAGCTGTGAAGTTGCCCTTGGGGAGACGGTGATGCTAACGTGCAAAGGTGCTCAGCACATGACCCCCCTTTACCCTCATGACACTTTTTGGATGCAACAGTGGACACTCCCATCTTAGGGAAGGAAACCCACCCAGGGTCCTACTGCAGGTGAGCAGCACAGCTGGGTCTCAAGCCCTTGGCTCCTGGCCCTGTCTCCAGGGGCCAAGGAGGACTCTCCTGGATGAGGCTGAATGGGTTTTGGGGATGCTTCCTTGGCTGCACAAATGGTCTCACAGTTTCCAGGCCCCTTAACTCTGCTCACTTCTTACTATCATCCTTGCTTGAGCTATAACTAGGGTGACTCCCCAGTCCCTTATAGGCCTCCCATTCACTTCTGGCCTAGTCTGACTCCCACCCCCTTCTGTGCCTAGTCTGTCTCTTTATAACTAGATAGCCCAACTGTGGAGCTTAGTAGGCAGGCAAATGCATCTAAAGAAAATTAGACACTATTGTTTTGTTATCTCTGGTTTTTGTTTTGCCTTTTTTATCATTTCTTTGTATTTATGGTAAAATGCATTGATTTTTCATTGTAACATTAATAGAATGCTTCCTGTTTACAATAAATTTCCATAAAAATAAAAAGCTATAGATTTAAAGCAACTATTTTAAAGCTGCCATGGGCCTGAATGAGCTGGGAAACACTGTAGATCATGCTGAAAAGTAGGAAGTTTACCTCACAGTATGGCCCAGAATAGATGATCACCAGTAGGGTTTGTCTAACCACCTGGGTCCTTTGGCCCTTGCCCACCTGTTTGGCTCTCCCCACCCAGTACTCCTGGTGTTGCCAAGTTGCTTGGGTGTTGTCCTCAGAGTCCCCCAGAAGAGACATTGATGAACTTAGGGTGGATTTTATTACCCTTGTTTAGGTTCATAACCTAAAGCACATGCTTGTATCTAACCCTGTTTCAGGTATTAAAATGTCTACATTATTTACGGATAATTTTGAGGCCGTACCATCTTGTCACACAAAGAGGAATTCTCAGGCCAGAAGGAAAAAAGATTTTATTGCTATATTATCACAACCATATAGTTCAGTTCAACTGTGGCTTTGGAATTGCTTTGGAATTGCTTTTTACCCATATTTATTTGTAAGGGTACTTCTCAATTCCCAAACTTCAGAAATACTAGTTAGCTTTCATCTTTGACTCTTCTAGAACAATTACATTACCAAAAACATGCTCTGTGTGATTTTGTTCCTCTGAAATACATTGAAATTTGCTTTGTGGCCAAAATAAGTAGTGTTAGTTCTTGTAAATATACTATATGTGCCTAAAACTAATGCTTCCTTTACAGTTGTTATATGATACTGATGGATATATGGGTACAGTTGTATGATTAAAATGTCTGGTCACTAAGTTGTATCCGACTCTTTTGCAACCCCATGCACTGTAGCCCACCAGGCTCCTCTGTGCGTGGGATTTCCCAGGCAAGAATACTGGAGTGGGAACACTGGAGTGGGTTGCCATTTCCTCCTCTAGGAGATCCTCCCAACCCAGGGATGGAACCTATGTCTCCTGCATTGACAGGCAGATTATTTACCGCTGAGCCACCAGGGAAACCATCATGATTAAAACGATTTACCTAATGGAAGATCCTAATAGATCTTCTACACGTTCAGAGTTCCTGTGTGCACCTTAGTATAACTTTTTGAAGGAGGGGTGGGAAAACTTCCCACGCTGCTTATGTATTTGATCATTCTTGTATTTCTGTCATTAGTTGATTTATACAGTTTTTCGCCACTGCCCATGGGAAAACCTGGGAGTTCTTAAAAGAAGCCCAGAAGTGGGGGATAGGGAACCTGGATTCAAGAGGACGAGAAATCATAAGGTCGGAAACGGTTCTAGAGGACCAGGGTGAAATGGCGTTTGAGGCATCAGCAGATAGGGGAGGGGCATTCTAAAACAGGGGTCGCGAGGGATGTTACTATGACGAATCAGAGGCTAAGGCAAGTGATTGGCTGAGACAAAGTTTAAAGCATCCCTGTTGCTATAGCATCATTCAAAGCGGAGAAGACGTGGAGGGAGACGAAGCCCCGTCGTCCACTCCAACTGCTCCTGCGGTTCCACTTGAGCTGGTTTTTGTTGCCTCCTGACTTGCTGACCTGCTGGCCTACTGACCTGTCGGAACCCTCCTTTCTCCCCTCTGGGACTTGCTTGACCCCCTGCTACTTTTTCCGGAGCCCCTTCTTCTCCTCCCAGGAGGCCACACCTCCTTCCTGCCACACCCCCTCCCCAAGCCCCTCCCCAATTTCAAAGCCAACCTCTCTCCGCCCCTCCCCACACCTCCCACCCTACCTCTTAGCTGGTAACCTCAGAGACCCTGAGAGGACCAGGGTATGGAGGTGAAGAGACTGCTCTTCTGGATCCTCCTACTCAGGTCTCCGCTTTACCCAAAGATGCATGTGAGTAACACCAAACACCAGTGGTTTCTTCCCTTTTATTGGGCTTACTTAAATAACTGATTTTTTCATGGCATGCTCAATGGGAACTCAGTTCTTCGTGAAGACCAATGTCCTCAGGGCAGGTTTCTTGAGCAGCCGGAACCAGCCAGCTCTTGCCGCTGCTGTTCTCATCGTTGTCCTGGCCCTGTCACTCCTACCTGTATCAAACACAGCAGGGTTGACAGGATGAAACCTGAAATAGTAACTTGATTTAGTAAATGAAGGAAGTGGGAATGTACTAAAAGCTGTTGGGTCGTATATCAAAAATGGATGAATTGTATGATATATGAATTATGTCTCAATAGTGTTTTGGTTTGTTTGTTGTTTTTGTTTTTTTTTTTTAAGTAAGGAACTCTTATTTATTAGGAGTCCTGGGCTCAAAATTAGACTGGCTCCTGGAAAGCTTGTCAAGATCCTGCTTCAAGCTACACAAGTGCAGGGTCCCCCTCTATGGGGTGTGTTTCCCTGTAAGCACACCCTTCATGTTCATGAAGTTGGGCAGCCCTGCGAACAGTGGTATTTAAGCTTTGGGTTGGTACTAGTCTGCTAAAAAGGGAAATGCCATCTGTGCTCTGTGCTTTCTGGTTTGTTGACTTTTATCAACTTCTGAGGCATCCCTTTCCTTGTGCTTCTGAATATAGCCTTCAGGGACTCTGCCCAGCCAGATTGATGGGAGCCCTGAGAGCCCAGTCAGTGTGGCTGCATCCTGCTGGGATGTTTAGAACGGGGAAATCCTTAGGAGTGACATAACCTGGAGGTGAATGAGACATTGTCCTTCCTGTAATGAAGTGTCTGCGTACAGAGTGCTGATTTACCAAAAACAGAAAGGTCCTTCAAGTCCTTAAATTGTTCAGATATAAAGAAATGCCAGGTTCACCATACTATGAAAGTTTTCACTGCCATAAAAATGTTCCTCCACACCCAGGAAAGAAAGATTAAAACTGAGAACACCCCAAGGAGATAAATAAATAGATTCGTTCTCTTTGGCATGCACCAGGTTCTGAGGGATCTGGAAAGGCCCAGTGCCTGGGACAACCTTTGTATAGAGTCGTGCCACATGAATACGTCCACCTGTTTCTTTTGAGCCTACAAGGGAAGAAATGTCTACATAATCTTTGTTGGGATTTTTTTTCCCTCAAAGTGATTGAGACTGTATTCTCATAGATTAGTTAAGTCCTCTTTCCACTACTTCATCTATGGGCACTCGGATAAGGCAACTTGTCTTGCATTTCCCACCTCCACTCTTGTTTGTGGCCACTGACACATAAACCTCAGTTTATTGACCCCACGGGATCAATTCTAGGTAGGAGTCAGCTGCTGGTGTCAGCATTTAGACAGTTGCCATACAGAACAAGAGTGCCCAGGCCTGAGGATGTTTGACCAGTTACTGACCAGATGGTGTTTGCCTTCTGTGTGCATTTGATCTGTGTTTAACCTTTGTGCTGAGAGCCCCATTTCCCTCTCACACTGTCTACTCAAAGACAGTGTATGACTCCCAACAGCACACATTTTACTGACCTCAGTCATGAGGGTTGACACTGAAAATGCTGTTGATTTCACAAGCTACTTTCTAGAGTAGAGGGATTTTATTTGTACAAAACTGAAACTTGGTATGTAGATTACTATGAATCACAGTGAGTTTCTTTTCTCCTAAAATACTTACATCGCTAGATTTTGGAAGAAAATATGCTTTCCTCTTGTTTTTATTATTCAGACACATTGATTTTTTTATAATAATTTTCATGGTTGCTATTAATTGTTTAGGTGCAATGCTATAAAAATTGAAAGTGAATTCCTTTTATGGACTGTTTGGAATTGTATTTTTAGCTAAATTCAATCCTTATCATTTTAATCATAATATATGAGATGATGCTGTTGTACAAATCATTATGTACTCAGAAGTCTGACATTATATGCTCTTGTTCAGAATCAAAGTGCACTTAAAAAAAACCTCAATGTTTTTAGAAACTTGGGCTAAACAGAAATTTTTAATTAATTTTGGTTGAGAAAATAATTAGTTTTATGGCACCAGAAGCTGCTCATCTTTGTCACTTATTTCCATATTGATAAATATGTCTATATTATTCTCATTTATATGTTTAACATACATTTTTATTCTTATATTTCCCATCCTTCTATACATTTTGGAGTTATTTTAGGAAACGTTCAGTAGGAGTTTTTCCAGGTACTTCATGAAGATAAAACAGAAGATGTAGATTTCTCATCCACTCTGTTTGCATTCACTTATTTTTCAATTTTAAGATGTCTTCTACATTCATAGTTAATTTCTGTTAACTATTTTTAAAATACTTACAATGTGTTTGTTAGCAAAATAAAATCTCTGTTTGTGTATCAGACTTTTTTTCTACAGCTTAAGTGTGGAATAATTTACTTATGATAGCCAGCACCTCTTTAATGAGTACAGTCTGTTGATATTTGACATGTGTGTGCAGCAATAAAACCATTACTACATTAAGATTGTAAACACACCCACACTCCCAAAAGTTTCCTCCTGCTCCGTTAGAATCCTTCTGTTCCCTGTCTCCTCCATGAGGATATATAAGAGGGATATTGGTGCCTCCTGGAGGTTGGTTTATGTCTTCTAAAGTTGATTCTTTGTGATGGATATACTGTAATTGTCTTCAAGTTTCCTCATCATCTCAAATATTATTTCAGCTGGTGCATATTCTGCCTGACCATTTCCATCTTGGGCCTGATGCTTATGAAATTCTTTGGAAGCTTACCATGATTACTGCCTCCTTGGGAATTTCTGCATTTGTTGTTTTCTTCTGGAGGACTATCCTTGCTGTGAGTATTACTAAAGCATATTACTAAAGCACCTTATAGATATACTTTTAATCATCCATGATGGGAATTTTTATAGTCACAGACATTTTATTTGCATTCAGTTCTACAAATGTCCCTCCAAGCAGTGCTTTCACTGAATCCCACAAATTTTAATGTCTTGGGTTTATTTTCAGTTAGATTGACATCTTTTCAAATTTCTGTTGAGATGTTCTCCTTGACCCATGTTTTCTTTAGAAGTATGTTGTTTAATCGCCATTTTTCATGTGATTTTCCAGTTGTCTTTCTATTACTGATTTCTACTTCAGATCCATTGTGATCTGAGAATATCCTTTCTGTGCCATTGTTTTCAATTTGTTAAGTGTTTCATGGCTCCCAATTATGGTCCTAGTGAATGCTCTGTATGAGTTTGAGAAGAATGTGTATTCTGCTGTCACTGGTTGAAGTCTTCTGTAGATGTCATTAGACCCAGCTGATTGATAACGTTGTTCAGTTCAAGTGTATTCTTACTGAATTTTTATATTCTGGATGTGTCAATGGCTGATAAAATGTTTGATTTCTAACTATAATGATGAGTTCATCTATTTATCCTAGAAATTCTGTCAATTTTTGACACTGTTGTTAACACATACTTATGAAGGATTGCTATGCCGTCTTGCAGAATTGACCTCTTTACCATTAAATTAATGCCCTTCATTATCTCTGACAATTTTCTTTACTCCAGAGTGTGCTTTGAAGGCTAATTTCAGTGTTTGCAGAAGTCTAGGTTAATGATTCTTTCCTTTCAACACTTTTAATATATTTCATTCCACTATCTTCTTGATTACATGGTTCCTGAATAGAAGTCTGATGTATTTCTCTTTGTCCTCCATGGGTATGGTGTTATTATTACCCAAATGCCCTTCACACCTGGCTTCTATGTAAGTTTTTCTTTCTCTTATATGTTATATAAATTTATAAACAACATATAAATATATATGTATCTATTCATTCCCACATGGAAATCTGTGAGCATCCTGAATCTGTGGCTCAGTGATTATCCTTATTATCATTATTTTAGAAGTTCTTGGTCATTACTGTTTCAAATGTTTTTTGCTTTTCCTACTGGTATTGCTATTATGTTCAGGTTATATCCTTTATAATTGTCCCACTGTCTTCAATCATTTGTGCTTTATTATTATTTTCTTTGCATCTGTTTAAGTTTCTACTGACTTTTTTTAAGTTCATTGATTCTTTCTCAGCTATGTTGAGTTTGTTAATAAACCCATCAAACGTGTTCCTCATTTCTGTTATAGTGTTCTTAATTCCTCAGTTTTCCTTTGGATCCTTTTTCCTCATCTATTCTTGCGTATTGTCCACTTTGTACCATTGGATCCATTACCGTGTTAATCACAATGGTTTTAAATCCCCAGAGTTAATGATTTAATTGTCTCTTCCATATTAAGTGTGATTCAAATATTTGCACTTTGAGTTCAAGCTGTATGATTTCTTCTTTTAGTATGCCTTGTCAGGATTTGTTGTCAGCTCCATATTGTGCCCTGTTGTGGTGGAACTGAGGCATTATATGTAGGCCTTTAATGTAAGATTTCATATTTACCAGGCTAGAGGGTAGGCTGAGTTTAATATAGATGAGACAGGAAGGAGAGAGAGAGAACGCTGGAATTGGGCATTTCCCTTTGCCGATGTCACCTCGTCTTTGGGCCAAAGTTAGGCTCTAGTAAAACTGTTTCTCTTGAGGGCTTGACTTCCTTTACTGAGGGATAGTTGATGTACAATATTATGCAAGTTTCAGGTGAACAGCATAGAGATTCACAATTTTTAAATGGTACATCCTTCATTTATAAGTACTATCAAAACTATTATAAAAGATCTTTAGTCAGTGTTTTTTATGTTTCTCCCCTGGCCACAGTGTACATTCTCCTTGATGAAATTACTGTGTGTGCACATCACAAGGAGTGGGGAGTTATATTTCACATCTTGGAGAACTGAACATCTACATAGTCATGCAGATTTCATCCTCCAAGGAAAATATTTCCATATGGATTTATTGAAATGTATTTTCCTTTTTCTAGAATAATGCAATCCTCTTTCATTCTGTCACTCAAATAGTTCCAGCTTTGGACATTGGGTCACTTTCAGGTGGTTCCCGTGTTCTCTGAGAAATGCCATTGGTATTTTGATAAGGGATTGCATTGATTATATAGATTGCCCTGGGTAGTAAGGTCATTTTAACAATATCAATTCTTCCAATCCATGAACACAGTGTACCTTTCTATGTCTTTGATTTCTCTCATCAGTCTCATAGGTTTCTGAGAACAGGTTTTTTTAAACTCATAGGTTTCTGAACACAGATATTTTTTAATACAACTGTAAAAGAGATTGTGTCCTTAATTTCTTTTTTTGATAGTTGATTGTTGTTGTATAGAAAACCAACAGATTTTTCTATATTAATTGTGCATTCTGCAAATTTACAAAATTTATTAATGAACTCAAGTTGTTTTTTTGTGGTATCTCTAGGATTTTCTGTGTACAGTATCATGTTATCTGCAAATAGTGACAGTTTTACTTCTTCCTTTCCAATTTGGATTGCTTTTTTCTTTTTCTTCTCTGATTATTCTTGCTGATTTCCAAAACTATGTTGAATAAAAGTGATGAGTGAATGTCCTTTTCTTGTTCCTGATCTTAGAGGAAATTCTTTCAGTGTTTCACTATTGAATATGATGTAAGCTGTGGGTTTGTCATGGATGGACTTTATTATGCTGAGGTAGTTTATATATATATGTATACATATACATATATATATATATATATATAATAAATATGTGGTAAAATTTTCTCCATCTATTGATGTGATCATATGAATTTCATTCTTCAATTTGTGAATGTGTTCTATTACACTGATTGATTTGTGGATATTGAACCATCCTTGCATCCCTGAAATCAGTCCCATATCACAATGTATGATCCTTTTAATATACTGTTGGATTTGGTTTGTGAGTATATTGTCGAGGATTTTTGCATGTTTGTTCTTCAGTAATATTGTCCTATAATTTCCTTTTTTGTTTGACATTTTGTCTATTTAAAAATCGAAAAGAGTTCAGTGTTTATTTTTAAATGACTGTTTTCCCTCTCTCATGCCAACAGCATGTGGAGATTTTTCCCCCAATATTTACACATCCTTTAGGATTCCGAAGATAAAACTGATGAAAGATAGGGGATCCCCTATCACTGGGCAATCTGGAATTATTAAATTTCATGCTTGTCCACACAGAGCCCCCAGGACTTCATCCATTAGAGTATAGATTTCTCTCCCATGACGTTCCGTTCTGTAGAGAATTCTGACCTTGGGCCTCTGCTCCAGTAACTGATGATTGCCTGTATCTGCAAGTCTGTTTTTCTAATTCTCTAGCAAGAGTTTGCCTTGTGACTTCAGTTCTCTGAGTGATCTATGAAGAGTTTTGGGTTTTTCCAGTTTTCTGGCTTTTGTCTTTGGATGAGTGACAATTTCCAAGTCCTTACAAGTTGGACCAGAATCCAGGAGTCTAGCTCTCCTTTTTATTTCCTTTTAGAGTATAAACTTTAATAGAAATTAGCTTTGAAGTGACAATGCTTTGCAAAATACTCTAATCTTTTTACTCAAGAACTCAGTGAGCAAGATAAGTATATTCTCATTGGAAAAATAACAATCTATAAACTGTTCTCTTCATGATGAAAACATAAATATCGAGTATTTGGTGACCCCATCCTTCTTTTCACATGCCCCTGCCTGGGGGATTAGTTGACAAAGGACAGTAAAGCTCACTGTTTTCTTGTGCAATGTGTAAAGTTAATGATATTCTAATATCTTGGTAAATCTTGGTGCTAGCCTCAGAAAGCTTTCAGTCTCAATCTGAATATTGCTTATGGTTTTCAATGAGGAACTATGTTTTACGGTGAAGAAAATGTATCTTTGCATAATATTAAAATGAAACTCTGCCTGGATTTGATTGAGCTAAAATTCCTCAGGTTAGAATTCATATCTGGGAAGCACAATTTTCCTTTCTTGAAATGTGAATTGTCCTTTCTTTTGTTGCTTGTGCTTTTCCTCTAGCCATCTCCCACCTTCTTTCTCGTAGATTACCCTCTGTGTTCATTGGTCTGGAAAATTCAAACCATGATTTGTTTCATTGTTTATCAGTTCAGCAAATAGACAACTCCCTGAAAGATTTCAGAAAAGCTTCTAGTGAGTGAAGAGGCATATCTCAGCATGAAGATCTTGCCTTTTCCTTTTGGAAGCTTTTAAAATAATCCCAGATTCTGAACTGCAATGTGCATATTACATTTAAGAAAATAAATAATAATGCTTTAGTCTATTTATAACATTGTGTTATTAAAAATAAATGGATTGATTATCAAAACAAAATACATTGCATTATCAAAATTAAATAGATAGGTGTTCATTTAATAGAATGCAAAAGATCTTTTGGTCAAAAATAAGTTATTTACCTTTGTGTTCCTTCTCAGAAATTATGTAGGAAGTAGCCTGACTCAAATAGTAAATTCTAATTTTTTTTGTTATTTTTAATCATATGGGTCATTATCCTGAATCAAAATGATTATTATAATTTTTGGATTATTATTTTGATATTTTATCAGGAACTAATATTTGTTAGTTGTTCAGTCACTCAGTCATGTCCAGTTCTTTGCAGCCTCATGGACTGCAGCACATCAGGCTTCCCTGTCCTTCACCATCTCCCTGTTCTTGCTCAAACTCGTGTCCATTGAGTGAGTGATACCATCCAAACATCTTGTCCTCTGTCGTTGCCTTCTCCTCCTGCCTTCAATCTTTCTCAGCATCAGGGTCTTTTCTAATGAGTCAACTCTTTGCATCAAGTGGGCTAATTACTGAAGCTATAGATTGTTAAAATAATATGTTTTGTTTACTTAACTTTAACTTTAACTTTGTTTCTTCCTTCCCTAGGTAAAGCCCCCAGTATATCAAGGTAAGAGTTTAAGCTTTAGATTCCTTTCTGATATTTTCTCAGTACTTGTTTGATGTTAGTTTCAATTCAGCTAGAAGTAAATACAGTGACTTTTTGTATTTGTCTAATTGACTTCTATAAGTATAATTTTTTAATTTATTTTTTTAATTAGAGGATAATTACTTTATAATATTGTGATGGTTACTCTTGAAAAATTTATTGCTCCTGGGTTGAAGTCTAATGTTATTGTAGAGGGAAGTGCCACCCATTGAGATAAAAAAAAAAAAAACACGAGGAAAAGATCACAGGGGTGGGGAGTGGGGAGAATAGGGTGGATTTAGTTTTGCATATAAATGTTTAGGAAGCAAGGGATGATGAGACTGAAGTTTGGAATGAGTACCTGTCATGACCCGGTTCTTGGTGAAAGGTAAAGATGATGACACAATACTGAAAAAGCTTCAAGTTTAAGGAAGAATGCAGATATTGCCAGGGAGTTTGTGTCACAACAAAGGATGAAGCCGTGGGTTATGAGTCTGAAGTGGAGGAAAACATTCATGCCACTGGAGAATGAGTGGAAATGAACATGATGCAAAATAGGGACAGTGAATTCGGTGTGGGCTTTATAGATAGTGGTGATTATGCGGGCTTCTCAGTTGAGAGCAGGGTGGCTGCTGGCACGTGGTAGGCCCTCAGAGGTCGGTGTTCATCAACGTGTGGGCAGCAGTGCTGGCAGGAATAACAGTGATCACCGCATCCGAGCTTTCACCTTGGGCAGACAGAAGATAAGCTTGCACTGTGTGGTCAGATGCGGGAATGAAATGTCTGTTGGGGGAGTCTGGAATTGCAGGCTGTGTTCTTGAGCTTGACACATGTGAAAGTGAAAGTGCTAGTCACTCAGTCGTGTCCAACTCTTAGCAATGCCATGGACTCTAACCCCCCAGGCTCCTCTGTCCATAGGATTCTCCAGGCAAGAATACTGGAGTGGCTTGCCATTCCCTTCTCCAGGGGATCTTCCCAACCCAGGGATGGAACCTGGCTCTCCTGCATTGCAGGCAGATTCTTTACCGTCTCAGCCACCAGGGGCTTCATACATGTGTATACACCTGTAATTGGGTGCTTTACCCATTCTGTCTTCCTGAAAAGTGATGGTAACATTCTCCATCCTGGGGACGAAAATGCCATTTTTTAGGGACTGTGAGTTTTCCTGGTCCTCTAGCACCAAGTTAGTGAAGCCCACATTGTATGCAAGTGTGTTCAGTTCCAAAGAGAAAGGCAATCTGCAGGGCATCAGGAAGACATTGGAAGTCTTTCAAGAGCCTATCAGTCAACATTTTGAATTTGCCTTCTGTGGAACTGCAAATAGGGCCTGGATGTGGGTTGAATCTGGATGAAATAAGGAGTTTCTTTTTCTTATAGCAACATATATATTCACCTTAGTAATTGGAGGCAAGAATTTTCAGTTAACAGGATGTTTGCTTTTCCAACTTCATCTTTGGTGACAAAACAGCTGGTTGAAGTGACTGAATTTTCTGAGAATGGTTCTTATAGATGGGGAAGAATTTAGAAGTCGATTTAATGTTTTTATTCATCTTTGAAAGCATTTTACATAGGAATCTCATTGAACTAATGTTTCTTATGTTTTAAATTCTGCTAGCTAAACTTTGCTTGTTTTAGACATAATAGTAAATAAAAAAGTTATATGAAGAGAAAAGAAAAAGATAATATATGTCTGCTGCTTACACTGAGATAATCCCATTTTAACTGAGTTTTTCTACTAAATCTTAGAAACTGTTTTATCTATCTTTAGTTACCTTGCAGCAAATATCAGCGAAAATCAATAATTTTGTGAAGGAAAACAGACAACTTGCAGAAAATATATCCATTATGGAACAGAAGGTATCATTTCCTTTTGTTATTTTTCATGATTTTACCTTCAACTTCTTCCACCTCTGAGAGTTCAGTTATTTTTCTCTGTTTTATTTCATCCTACTGTCCTGTTTCTTATGTTCCATAAGCAGTCCGGGTTCATAGCAAGCTCCATAAACGTAAAGCATTGTTTTCTGTATTTGTGGAAGGACTCACAATGAAAGATAGGTTTGGCTGGCCCTGTAATCAACATTTGTAATGCCGGTTTCCTTTTGCACGTATTTGCATAGATCATTGACTCAAAGAAACGTCTTCAAGAAACTAGGAGACAAAATAAGATGCTCTCTCATGAAGCACTAAAATTTAAGGTAATAATCCCGTCTCTACCTGGGATTACATTCTGAAAACAGAAGTAAAAGTAATGAGTAATTGTTACTGATTCAATTTGTTTTGTTAAAGGATAACATCAAAACAATTGAGAGGGCTAATGAATATCTGAATGACCTCCTTCAAAGTTCTCATGCAAGGTTGCAGTCTGTGAGGGGTCAGAACGTCAAGACACCCAACTTGGTAAGAATTTGGCTGCTGAGTTTATCACAGTTAGACTTTTGAGGCTTTCTGTGCATTGGGTGAATTGAGGGCTCCATCTTCTCTTACTGCTCACCACTGTAGATTGTGGGTGTTTGGGAGCTGAACCTCCTTCCGAACAATGATCTGGAATATCACTTACTCATATCTCCATGACTTTTCCAGTTGCAGAGACTAGGAAGTCTTTTTTATTTTCCAAGTTTTCTCACTATTTGGCACTGCCTTCACACAGACAATCCCAGGAAATATATGAGAGGTGAAGGAAAATATCTAGCCAAGTTGTATGGGCCCTATCCTTCTTTATGCTGAACAAAGAATTTTCAATGTGAATTTGGGAACGTTTTCTTAATTTTCCATCAAGAACACCCACTGATGAGCCGTTGGACATGGACAATTTTCCACCCTTGTCATCCGGTCATCTCTGTTGTAATTCAGTGAGCAAGATGTCTTATGAAGCTATGAAATACTTGTGCCTTAATGGCTTTCTTTGTTCTGCATTTCTTTATGGGCTGGACATTTTTCCTAGGCCCACCCTGGATCTACTCTCACATGAAACTTAGGGATCACCCTGTGATGTGCTTGTTTGATATGACCACTTTTCAGCATATCACTGAGTGTGTCCACTGGAATCTCAGCACATTTTTTGTTTCTATCCTATGTGCAGATACAGGAAAAAGAAAATTCTGCAGAGAACATGAAAGATGCTCTTTTAGTGAACACCTCAGCAATTTCAGAGGTAAACTACCTATATTTGTTGCAGGATTTCCACTTGTATACATTAGTTTTTACAAAGGACAAATTTTCACATCTTAGAAGATTAAAATGATATCTGCTTGGTATTGTTTTTCTTGGGAATTAAGTCATTGATGAGAATGTTTTGCTTCAGTTTGAAAGTGCCTTTAATGAAGCTTGTGTCAAGGAAGTGGAAGTGAAACCTGAAGAACTGCGTGAACAGAATATTCAGCTCAACACTGAGAAGAATCAGGTAACAAGTTTTACTCTCATTGACTGTTTAATTCAGAGAACTGGAAAATGGTTACTTCCCTTTCAATTTTTTAAAAAATTCTGTATTGGAATATAACTGACTGAAAATGTGTTAGTTTCAGATGTACAGTAAAATGATTTGGTTATACATACACATGCAACCTTTTTTCAGATTTTTTCCCATATAGGTTATTACCGAATATTGAGTAGATTTCCCCATGCTGTATAGTAGATCCTTGTCATTATTATTTGAAATACAGTAGTGTGTATCTATTTAATCTTAAATTCCTAATTAATCCCCCTACCATTCTTCTTTGGTAACCATAAGTTTATCTTTTATGTCTGTGAATCTGTTTCTGGCTTATAAATAAGTTTATATGTATCATTCTTTTAGATTCCACATATAAGTGATATCATATATTTGTCTTTCTCTGTCTGACTTACCTCATTTAGTATGATAATCTCTAGGTCCATCCATGTTGCTGCAAATGGCATGTTTTGCCAGAAGTTTTTACTTTAATTTTAAATTCAATGGATTCAAACAAAATAAACCACTCATGACATACAAATAAAGTTTCAATTTTCTAGAGAAGATTAGTTTACCTAATTTCAATATACAGTCATTAAAAGATAGGAAACAGAAACATCAGAGAAAAGTAATAGCACACACATCACCAAGTTGGACTGACCTACATCCAGACTTGAACAGCATTGGAAAGTCCCTCGTTAATATCAATTTGAAGTGTGAGTGTGTGTGCTAAGCTGCTTCAGTCATGTCCGACTCCTTGAGATTCCATGGACTGTAGCCCACCAGGCTCCTCTGTCCAAGGGATTCTCAACCCAAAGATAGAACCCACATCTTTTCATCTCCCTTTGTGACTCAGCTGGTAAAGAATCTGCCTGCAGTGTGGGAGACCTGGGTTTGATCCCTGGGTTGGGAAGACCCCCTGGAGAACGGAAAGGCTACCCATTCCAGCATTCTGGTCTGGAGAAGCCTTACAATCTGAAGTCCCCACTGGGAAATGATCCTGGGAGGTGCTCCATCCCAAGAGTGAGTCTTCAAATTGCAGTTTGGGGGCTCCAGCTTATAATCCCAGGCAGCAAACTGATAACATCATCAATTTGTATGCAAAGAGGCAGCTCTGGTTTAACTTTTACAATGCTGTTTGTTTCTCCTTGTGAGTTGTAGGATTTCACTGCTGCTCCTGCTGCTAAGTCGCTTCAGTCGTGTCCAACTCTTTGCGACCCCTTAGACGGCAGCCCTCTAGGCTCCTCTGTCCCTGGGATTCTACAGGCAAGAATAATGGAGTGGGTTGCCATTTCCTTCTCCTATGCATGAAAGTGAAAAGTGAATTGAAGTCTCTCAGTTGTGCCTGATTCTTAGCGACCCCATGGACTGCAGCCTACCAGATTCCTCCGTCCATGGGATTTTCCAGGCAAGAGTACTAGAGTGGGGTGCCAATGCCTTCTCCGAGGATTTTACTACACCCTGTCAGTTCAGTTCAGTTCAGTCACTCAGTTGTGGCAGATTCTTTGCAACCCCATGGACTGCAGCATGCCAGGCCTCCCTGTCCATCACCAACTCCCAGAGCTTGCTCAAACTCATGTCCATTGAGGCAGTGATGCCATCCAACCATCTCATCCTCTGTTGTGCCCTTCTCCTCCTTCCTTCAATCTTTCCCAGCATCAGGGTCTTTTGTAATGAGTCAGTTCTTCACAACAGGTGGCCAGAGTATTGGAGCATCAGCTTCAACATCAGTCCTTCTAATGAATATTCAGGACTGATTTCCCATAGGATTGACTGGTTTGATTTCCTTGCAGTCCAAGGGACTCTCAAGAGTCTTCTCCAACACCACAGTTCAAAAGCATCAATTCTTCGGCGCTCAGCTTTCTTTAGCATCCAACTCTCACATCCATACACGACTACTGGAAAAACCATAGCTTTGACTAGATGGACCTTTGTTGGCAAAATAATGTCCCTGCTTTTTAATATGCTGTCTAGGTTTATTGTAGCTTTTCTTCCAAGGAGCAAGCGTCTTTTAATTTCATGAGTGCAGTCACCATCTTCAGTGCTTCTGGAGACCAAGAAAATAAATTGTCACTGTTTCCATTATTTTCCCTTCTATTTGCCAGGTAGTGATGGTACTGGATACATGATCTTTGATTTTTGAATGTTGCGTTTTAAGCCAGCTTTTTCACTTTCCTCTTTCACTTTCATCAAGAGGCTATTTAGTTCCTCTTTGCTTTCTCCCCAGGTCTTCAAAAAATACCATTGATAGTTTGATAAGGATTGCATTGATTCTTGGGTGGTATGGTCATTTTGACCATATTGATTCTTCCAATCTGAAAACATGGCATATCTTTCCATTGGTTTGTGTCATCTTTGATTTCTTTCATCAGCATCTTACAGTTTTTGGAACGCAATTGTTTTGTCTCCTTAGGTAGGTTTATGTTTAGGTTTTTTATTCTTTTTGATAAGATGTTATATGAGATTGCTTCTTTATTTTCTCTTGCTGTTATTTCATTTTTGCTGTATATCATACAAAAGATTTCTGTGTATATATTTTGTATCCTACAACTTCACCCAGTTCATTGATGAAATCTAGTAGTTTCCTTGTGGCATCGTCAGGATTGTCTATGTATAGTATCATGTTATCTCTAAACAGTGACCATTTTACTTCTTCCTTTCCAATTTGGACTTATTTTCTTTTTCTTCTCTGCTTGCTGTGATTATGACTTCCATAACTATGTTGAATTAAAGTGGACAGGGTGGACATCTTTGTTGTTCCTGATCTTAAAGGAAATGCTTTCAGGTTTCACCATTGAGGATGATGTTAGCTGTGAGTTTTTCATATATGTTCTCTATTATGTTAAGGTAGATTCCCTCTATTCCCACTTTCTGGAGAGTCTTTTTTTTTTTTAATAATATGTGTTGAATTTCGTCAAAAGCATTTTCTCTATTGATGTGATTATAATGGCTTTTATTCTTCAATTTGCAAATTGCTCTAATTGATTTTCAGATATTGAAAATTCCTTGCATTCCTGGGATAAATAAATATGATCTTTTTAATGTATTTTTGGATTCAGTTTGATAATATTTTGTTGAGGATTTTTTTGTGTCTATGTTCACAGTTGGTATTGGCCTGTAATTTTCTCTTTTGTGGTATCTTTTTTTCTGCTTTTGGTATCAGGGTGATGGTGGCTTCACAGAATGAACTTATGAGTTTTCCTTTACCTGAAACTTTGGGAAATAATTTCAGAAGGATATGTGTTTAATGTTTGATAGAATTCACCTATGAAGCCATCTAGTTCTGGTCTCTGGTTTACTGGCAGTATTTTAGTAATGGTTTCAACTTCAGTCCTTGTGATTTGTCTTCATATTTCCTGTTTCTTCCTGATTCCTTCTTCAGAGATTGTACCTTTCTTATAAAAATGTATTCCTTTCTTCTAGGTTGTCTGTTTTACTGACATATAGTTGCTTTTAGTTCAGTTCAGTTCAGTTCAGTTGGTCAGTCCTGTCCGACTCTTTGCGATCTCCTGAATCGCAGCACGCCAGGCCTCCCTATCCATCATCAACTCCCAGAATCCACTCAAACTCATGCCCATCAAGTCGGTGATGCCATCCAGCCATCTCATCCTCTGTCGTCCCCTTCTCCTCCTGCCCCCAATCCCTCCCAGCATCAGGGTCTTTTCCAATGAGTCAACTGTTCACATCAGGTGGCCAAAGTACTGGAGTTTCAGGTTCAGCATCAGTCTTTCCAATGAACACCCAGGACTGAGCTCCTTTAGGATGGACTGGCTGGATCTCCTTGCAGTCCAAGGGACTCTCAAGAGTCTTCTCCAACACCACAATCCAAAAGCATCAATTTGTCGACACTCAGCTTTCTTCACAGTCCAACTCTCACATCCATACATGACCGCTGGAAAAACCATAGCCTTGACTAGACGGACCTTTGTTAGCAGAGTAATGCCTCTGATTTTTAATATGCTGTCTAGTTTGGTCATAACTTTCCTTCCAAGGAGTAAGCGTCTTTTAATTTCAAGGCTGCAATCACCATCTGCAGTGATTTTGGAACCCAAGAAAATAAAGTCTGGCACTGTTTCCATTGTTTCCCTATCTACTTCCCATGAGGTGATGGGACCAGATGCCATGATCTTAGTTTTCTGAATGTTCAGTTTTAAGCCAACTTTTCCACTCTCCTCTTTCACTTTCATCAAGGGGCTTTTTAGTTCCTCTTCACTTTCTGCCATAAGAGTGGTGTCATCTGCATATCTGAGGTTATTGATATTTCTCCTGGCAATCTTGATCCCAGCTTGTGTTTCTTCCAGCCCAGTGTTTCTCATGATGCACTCTGCTTGTAGTAGTCATTTACAATTCCTTTTATTTCTTTGATGTCAGTTGTAACTACTTTTCTTTTATTTTTCATTTCTAACCTGACTGATCCAAATCCTCTCCTTTTTTTTCTTCATGAGTCTGGCCAAAGGTTAATCAATTTTGTTTATTTTTTTCAAAGATCTGATCTTAGTTTCTTTGATCTTTTTTATTTTTTTCTTCACTTTTATTGAATTTGTTTTTTGCTCTGATCTTTATGATTTCTTACCTTCTACTAACATTGGGTTTTGTTTGTTCTTCTTTTTCTAGTTGATTTGGGCACATAGTTAGGTTATTAATTTGAAGTTTTCCCTGTTTCCTAAGGTAAGATTGTATTGCCATAAACTTCCTCTTAGAACCACTTTTACTGTGTCCCATACATTTTGGAGCATCATCTTTTCATTTTCATTTGTCTCTAGGTATTTTTTTATTTTATCTTTGATTTTTTTTCAGTGACTCTTCGGTTGTTCAGTAGCATATTGCTTAGGCCCCCATTGGCCTGTTTTTATTTTTTTTCTTGTAGTTGATTTCTTATTTCATGACTTTGCAGTCAGAAAAGATGCTTGATTTGATTTCAATTTTCTTAAATTTACCAAGGCATACTTTCTGGCCCATCATGAGATCTATTC